GCTGTCGCCGGCGACTCACGGCAGCCCAGCTCCAGGTTGAGCTGTTGTTCAGCATCTTAGCTGTGGAGGGCAGTGTCACTGGCCCTCTATGTGGGATCCGAACCGGGGCCCTCTGGCGTCCAAGCCAGTTCTTAACCATCGCGCCACTCGGCCGGCCCTCCCCCCCTTTTTTAATGGTAAGGTCTCCTAACCTCTGTTAGTCTCAAGTTTTCTTTCTTATTAGGGAGTTGGACTGGAGGAGTTCTAGGGTTCTATTTTTCTCTCAGATTTTCTGATTTTTTATGTTCTTCTTTCTGGACATGGTATATTTAACTCCATGGAAAGTGATTTCCTTCAACTTACATCAGTTATTCATTTTTTGTTGTCTAGTTAGCAGATCCAAGGAAGGGTGTGTGTGTGTGTGTCTGACTTAATCTATATCAGGGCCTATCACTGCAGATTTATGATTTAATATGTGTGACTAACTGAAGTGACAGAATAGAAGTAGTAGTAAAAAAACAAACAGTAGCTTGTATATTAGTATAGAATAGCTACTATAACAAATAACCCTAATATCTCAACCCTAAATTAAAATTGTTTACTGCAATAAAATACAAATGTAAAAGTTTGTTCACAACCCAAGGCTGTCAACAGGCTAGGTAAGGGAGTAGGGAGGTCTGATCTTTGTTCCATGTAATCATTTAGGGACTGACTCAGGGTCTTTCCATCTTGGGATACTCTCCTCTTCAACATGTGGCCTCTAAAGTTGCTACAGAAAGTGAAGGATTACCCATGGGAAATTTTTATGAGCCAGAACTGGAACTGGCCCCTTTCCATTGGCCAGAATTCAGCCCTATGTCTCCAACATAATTGCTGGAACAGGACACTGGGAAATATAGCCTCACAATGTGCCCAGGCAGAAAAGGGAAACCACAAATATTGGTGAGCTCTAGAATTCTCTTCCTTATCTGGTTTCGGACTCACTAGGATTCAAGCTTGAGAGCATGATGAAAGGATCTTGCTGGCCAATGCATTTCTTACGTTCTAATCTTATTCCCTCTTCATGCCACCTCTCGTATTCTCTGTCCCAATTCACAAACCATTTCCTTTTGTCTGGCCTCATCGTTACTTTCTCTTTTATTTGATGCCTCGAAGTAGGAAGAGGTGATGTGAATGTGGATGGAAGCCCGAAGAAGGTGAATTTTCATGAGCAATAAGTGGAAAGGAGAACTCACTTTTCTAAGAGGCACAAATTTTAGAAAGAGAATTGGGCGAGGCCAGCAAGGAGGCTGGGAGAGGTTGGTCTGTGTTGGTTCATGATGAGAATGGATTATTCCAATAGGAAACAAATGGCAAGATGAAAGGTCCATTTCTCCATGTAGTAGGAGAGGTGGTATTTTGACCAAAATTTTGTGAACATATTGTAAAATTTAGATTGAAGATTTTCATGTTTTTAACTACAGTAGAAAGTCCAGCATCCACAATTAAGAACTATAACCATGTAAGAGTAAGTCATTGTGGCTATTAAATTGTTTTTAACACTCACATGAAAATAACACATACACACACACTCAATAATGTACAAAGATATTTTTATAAAGAACAACATTTGCTTTCTGCCTTAAACTCTTCCAACATGGAATGAGAAACAAACATGTACCCATTTGTAAGCCCACGATGACACACATTCAGCAAATCTGCCCAGTAGTCAAAACTGTATCATTGCAGCCAGAAGCCCCCCATATTCCCCTCCAAGCTGCTCCCAAAGAGTCACAGAATTTCAGTTATTGTCATACTCCCAATTTGTAACATAGATTCCTATAATAGGGATTTCCTCCCCAAAACTCTTTTAGGTCATGAGAAACACGAATTCATCCTTTTGGTCTGGTCATTAATTGCCAAGAATGGATCTCCTTTCTCCTGTGTTATGCTTAGTTTAATTAAAACATTTCCTGGAAACAAGTTTATGCTTAAGTTTGTGTACTATGTCTTACACCTGAAATTCTTACCCTGGACAATTTCACAGAGCCAATAGACACAAAAGTCTTGCCAAGAACAATTCCCATGAAGAGTTTAAAAGCAGTGAGTCCCTGGAAGTTCAGAACAAGTGACAGGCCCTGGGCCCCAAATGTTAAATGCGATTAAGTACACCTACTCTGAAAGGCATATAAAGCACTGTGTTTCTTTTCCCCAGGGCTTTCCCGGAAAGGATGGATCCTCTGGCCCTCCAGGACCACCAGGGCCAATTGTAAGTATCTCCAGAAACTACTGGGATGTATTCTGCTTTAAAGCATTTTGTTTATTTTGAGAGATTTCCTTTTGCCAGACCTTTCACCTCGGCAGCCATCTTGGCAATAGTGTAACATTTCACCTGTTGGTTCAAAACTCTTCCTAAAACATCCTGTAAAAAGAAGATATCCATATGGCTTGACCGTTCTATCTCTGAGCCACTTTGCCACATTGATATAGTTTTTATTAGACACGTGTAAGGCTTGAATTTGAAAGAACTACACCTAACTGGTAATGTGGCAACTTCCCCCTACCCCACCCCCCCAAAAAAAAATTCTTCTCTACTTATTTGGTAGTTGGGGCCAGGCATGAGCAATGAATCCTAAAGTCTCGGTGTTGAAGGGAAAGAGAAGCTATCCTTGTGTGTGTGTGTTTTTCCTCCTGGAGAGCTGGCTGTCTTCAATGAGATTGAAGGAATCCTCACCTTTGCTCCATCTTCCTGCCTCTCTATTAGGGCATTCCTGGAGCTCCCGGAGTCCCAGGGATCACAGGAAGTGTGGGACCCCAAGGCGCCCTGGGACCACCTGTGAGTATGTAGCAGTAGCCAGTCGGGATGGTTGCCCAGTCATCCCTCTGGTTTATTTGCGTTTCAATTTACCAGCATTTCTGTTGGTCAAAAATGTTTATTCAGTCGTAGATGCTGTGGGAATCCATGAAGGAAAACAAAGAAGCTCCTAGGATAAAAATTAAGATCAGACTGTGCATATGTCATAGCTAAAGACAGATGGTCCCAACGGAACAATCAGCCATGCTTTGGTTTATATATATTTCCATTGTTTGTTATCCTGCATTTGGCTAAGTAAATACAATGCCATTATTATAGGGATTGGGTACAATAGCTGTGTGTTCATAGACCTGTCTCCTAGATTAAAAAAAAAGAAAGAAGAAGGCTTGAGAAAGTCAAGGGTTAGTGAGAATGGAAATAGGTTTTTCTTTTCTAAGTTCTACAAGACAGACAGAATTTTCCATGAAAACGTACTCACATATAAGAGAATAGTGGTGTTTGGATAAAAGCACAGTGGGTGGAACTAATTACCTCCCACTTTGTGCTTCTAATCCCTTAAATTTGTGTTTAAATGGATCAATGGAGCCAGAGGAGCAGGATAGGGGGGAGAAAGAAAGGAGCGCATCTGGGCCTGATTCTTCATCTGTAAAACAAGGCAGTTCCATTACATGGCCTCCAAAGCCACATTTGGTATCTTCTGTGGCTCTGAAGTTTTTCCTTCTAAGTGTAGGTATTGTCTGCATTCTGATATTATCTGTGACAGTCTAAGTGTGTATTCATAAACTAAAATAATCCAGATGTATACATGTCTATACTGCTGCAAACATGCTAAGAATTTGTGCGACCGTGAAGCCTGAAGAGTGAAGGTAGGAGAGGTCAATGAAGTAGATTTCTATGGCTGCTCTAACAAATTCCCACCATCTCAGTGGCGTCAATGAACACGAATGTTATTATCTTAAAGTTGTGTAGGTCAAAAGTCTGATGCAGGTCCTACTGGGTTAAAGTCAAGGTGTCGGCATTTCCTTTTCTGGAGGTTCTAGGGAAGAATCTGTTTCCTTGTCGTTTCTAGCTTCTGAAGATTTCCCAATTCCTTGGCTCATGGCCCACTTCCATCTTTAAAGCCGATAATGTTCCATGTCTCTCAACTCTCTGCCTGTTTCTGCCTGTCCCATCTCTCTGTGAACAGTCCAGAAAAGTTCTTAGCTTTTTTTTTTTTAACTTTATTGGGGAACATTGTGTTTTTTCAGGACCCATCAGCTTCAAGTCAAGTCATTGGTTTCAATCTAGTCGTGGAGGGTGCAGCTCACTGGCCCATGTGGGGATTGAACTGGCAACCTTGGTTTTATGAGCCTGCACTCTAACCACCTGAGCCAACCGGCTGCCCAGGTTCTTAGCTTTTAGGGACTTATGTGATTACACTTGGGCCAGATCTCTCTGTATAACCAAGATCCCTTGCAAAGTCCCTTTTCCCATATAAGGTAATATATTCACAGATTCTGGGATTAGGACATGAACACTTTTTTGGCGAGGAGCCTGTTTCTGTCTACCATAGTGAACAAGACATAACAGAAACATAGATTCTGATTCAGAAAGACACCTCTCTCCCTCTAGCTACCCAGTCATGTTACTCTTTATTTCTGAAACTTATTTCAATAAAATTATTTCATCCTCAGTTCTTTTCTAAACTACGATTCACATGACACATACTCAGACACACACAAGATATAAAAAATGCCTCCAGATTTCAGCAAACACCCTAATTTACCCACCCAAATAAATGCCCTCCTTAGCAGTCATATGCTTATTCCAAATACATTGTTATTGTTCAAAACACTTTTAGATCCGTGCTTTTCAAATCAAGCTGACAATGGGCCACAGAAGAAAATGTATTGCTTTATCTTCACACATCGTTTTTTTTTTTTAAGATTTTATTGGGGAATTGGGGGAAGGGAACAGTGTTGGAGAACTGGTGAAGGAGAACAGCCAAGTTGTTGTCCTTCAACCTTAGTTGAGGGTGCAGCAAGCTCAGCTCCAAGTTCAGTCACACCGCTCAGCTCAAGGTGCTGCAATTAGTTGCAGGTGGGCGTAGCCACCATCCCATGCGGGAGTCAAACCGGCAGCCTTGTTGTTAAGAGCACGTGCTCTATCCCCTGAGCCACCCTGGCAGCAGCTCAGCTCAAGGTGCCAAGTTCAGTCTTTAGTTGCGGGCGGGCATAGCCCAGCATCTCGAACAGGCAACCTTGTTGTTAGGAGCACATGCTCTCACCAGCTGAGCCATCCTGCTACCTGTTGGCAGCTCAGCGGCAGCTCAGCTTGGGCACAGCCCACTGACCCATGTGGGAATTGAACCAGCGACCCTGTTACTCAGAGCTCACATTCTTGAGCTAACTCTTAACCAGCTGAGCCACTCGGCCGGCCCATGTTTTTTGTTTATTGTTTTTTAATCCAAAATAATATTACCAAGAATGGTCATGCACTGACACCTGCATGTGTGAACACACACACACACACACACACGCACACACACACACACACATGCCTTCCTGTCTCCACCATCCTTTCACTGAGAACTTATCTATTCATTGGATTCTAGGCTATTTCTCACCAAAAAAAAGAGATTTGCAAACATCATCTCTGCTACCAGGCTCCAGCCGGCTTGCTTTAATGTGCTCCTGGGAACAAGAGTTCCAGAATGTGTCAGCAGGGCTCAGAGAGCAAGGGCCTTGGGTTAAAGGAGTGTCAGAGGCAGTGTGTATAAAATCTGTTTCCCAGAAAGTCGTAAGAGGTCTTAGGACATCAAAGGCTTTGAGGCATCCTGAAATGAAACAAGCAAGCAAAAACAATTTAATTTGGTTTGATAGTAAACAAACATATTTGTGTACGAGGTGGTCTTGTGCATTGCACGCTTACTGACACCTCCTAGAGCTAACGTTCCTTAACCCAAGCTGAGCTGGTCCTGAGTCAAGAGGGCCTGGATGAGAAAGGAGAGCAGGCTCTGGGGACCTTGGGAGAGGACAGTGGGGTATGCGAGGCCAGTGATACCTTAGGGAAACAGAACCCTGCCTTGCTTATCCACCAGGCCTTTTGTAAACTCTGGAGCAGACTCTAAATACAGAGCATGCAAAAATACCAATAAACCGTCTTCCAGAAATAAAACACTTGCTAATAATATTATCTTTGATTGTTATAAAGCAACAGAAAAGGGCCCCTGTTGGCACTTTTTACAGAGACAGAAGCCATTTTGTTTAGTTTCACAGACACACTCGGTGGGGATGCCACTACTGGCTTTGGGGATCCTCTCAAAACCCAGTTGTTTTCTGAACTATCCAGCCCAGACTTTTCCCTGTGTTTTGGGCCCCAAGCAACCAGAGGCCTGCTGGCTGCCAGACTGGCGTGACTAGGAGAGCTGACTCGGTGTCATGGTGTTAAGGCCTTGATTGTTTTCCCATGGATGTCTGTCTAGGAAGGCAGGAGGGAAAGAGACCAAGAAAGACAGACTGCCCCACTGAAAATAACAATGTGTTTCCTACAGTCGGTGCCAGGAACGCTTGCTGTCATGCACTCTGCCTTCAGCTGCCGACTTCGCAGGGTGGAATGTGCACTGCTGCTTCTGCGGTCAGAATTCCTACCTGAGGCTGAAGCATAGGCTCAAAAGTAGTGCCTCCCTGCAGGGGAACAGACCGTGATGAAGCACCTGGAGCAGGGGCCATGTGTTTAGTGTGAAACCAATATAGGTAGTAGGTCCATCTTTTAAAGACTACTGCATGAAAAGTCAGGACATCCAGGTTCTATAGATGTGGCCCTGACATGACTTTAACTACTTCTGTGAGCCTCATCGCCTAAGCAATTTATCCAGCCTCTCAGCACATCGGTTTCCTAATTCATTCATTTAAAAATATTTACTGAGCAGCCACAATATGTATAAGAACCATGGCGGACAGGTGTTCTGAGGGGCACAAAGGATACCAAGATATTTTCCATGTTCATGGACAATCTAGAGAGAATGATATGGATTTGGTTTTTTTGGTTTTTTGTTTGTTTGTTTGTTTGTTTTAAATATAAGTAGGTATAAAGAAGGGCAAAAAGTGAGAAATGCCTTAAGGGAAAGGCAAGGAGGTTGCTATCAAAGGTCCACTGAGAGAGAGAGAGAGAGAGAGAGAGAGAGAGAGAGGCAGAGACAGACAGACAGAGAGAGGGTACCTCCTGAGAGCAGCGCCTGCAGAAGAAACATTTCAATGGGATCTTGTAAGACGAGTGCGATTTCCACCCAGAAAGATGGGGTAAACATAGGACAAATACAGGGCACCCCCACTTTTTTGTACATTTTAATATTTTTCAACTCTTTCTCCTGCTTCATCGCCACAGCCACAATTTTGTTTCAGGCTCTCTTCATTTCTCACCAGGATTATTACAAGAAACTAATTGGCCCTCTCGCCTCTGCTCCAGCCCTGGTCTGGTCCACTCACCAGCTGCCAGGGGCTCTTCCTAGAACTACTCTGATATGTCATTTCCTGGCTTGAATCTCCCCCGTGGATTCCTCTCCCCAGAGGATGGGTCCCAAATATGCAGCCAGGTATACATAGCCCTTCGTGAAGGGCCCTTATGTCCCTTCCAGCTTGACCTTGTATCATCCCTTCACTTGGAATTGAGTCATGCAAAATTACTTAAAGCTCCCCAAATATATTTCATACTGTTTCACAATTTATTTTATATTTTAGTTTATTTTATTATTTGCCTTTTGGGAGGCTCTTCTGTTTGTCTGGACTGCTTTCTCCTCTTCTCTCCACCTGGTGAGCTCCTGGCCCCTCTTTCTTTAAAGCTGTGCCCTTCGGGTGTGAGGCCACCCTCCCCTTCTCAGGCTGAGATACTTCAGCTGTCCGTCTCTTCACGAAAATGAAAGTCCCTCGAGAGCAGAAATGTTATCACACTCAGGTTTTCGTTCCTAGACCCCAGTCCAGTATCACAGAGGGTACTTAGTAAGTATTTGTTAAAAGAAAGGAAGAACGAGGGGATGTCTGTGGTCCAGGTAGGCTGATGCTCAAGGGAGCATTAGGTGATTCTTCTTATAGATTAGGGGCCAGACCATGGAAGAGCTTTAGAGCTGAGCTAGGATGTTTTGATTTTAGTTAACAGACATCTTTAATATGTGGCACTTGGACCATGAAATCATTCCCCTCCCCTTCAGCATTAAAATTCTGTGAATCTATGAATGTAGCTACTGTATTTCCTTTTCTTTACATTTCAAGTGTTCCTGAAATTAAAGGAAAATGTGCCACTTTTTCTGGCCTCCATCTGCAGGGAAGATATATTTCCCTCAAAGCGTACTTTTTGTGGACTTACGGGCCTTCATTTGCTCAGGAATTTTTATTTTGTTTTTGTTTTCCTTTGCAAAAATCAAAGGGAGGATGTCAGAGGAGTTGGAATAAAACTAACTTCTTGCCGTACAGATATTTCGTTAAATGGATATTTCACTGAGACTGCCTAGCTCTGTCCTATAGCTACTTAATTGCAAGCATGGTGAGGCCGAGGCTGAAGAATTTCAGGCCGGATTAAACCCAAGCATCTCTGGTACCAGAAGGTGCCAACAGCTGCTGCTCACCACTTACCTTATCACTCAGGTTTGCGCTGTAATGTCTGTTTCTGCGTTGGAAACATTTCAGACGAACCCATTTAATCACTGATCACTATTTGACAATGAAATGTCAAAATTGGTTCAGAAACAAAAATACGATAGAATAGATTTTAAGAAATGACTCAAGTTGAAACCTAGAGCTAGGTTGGGGGGAATGTATGTTTGCTCTCTTATTATTATTTATCTAGTGGAAATATTATCTTCACCGGAATAGACGTTATTGGCTAGCAAGTTTTGTTGAGCAGTGTCCTCTGTGCTGGCAGCTGTGGAACATACTGGGGATTCGGGAGCCCACTGATTGGTTTCAGGCCCCAGCTTTTCCATTTTGTTCCTGTGTGACCTTGGGCAAGCTGTTTAACCTCTCAATGCATTACTTTCCTTATATGTAAAACAGAAATAGTCTATCATAGGGTTATTATAAAAAATAAATGAGTTTATCTTCAAGGAGTCTTACGAGGATTAAATGAGTTAATCTTATTATTACACTGAGAACAGGGCTTGGGACATGGGAAAAGCTGTTTATGTATTAACTACTAGTATTGAGTTTCTTATTATATTGAAAGTGTGAAATATTCACTTGGTTTGCTGATTTCTGTTTTTGTTTTACATCTAATGCCCGAAAAGCTGGTTCCATTAAGGGTTTATTTTGTGATGACATAAGTAGCTCTTTTCTCCAGTTAGACCTACCAGAGGCCATTATTGTGTTTTGGGGGACTTGTCCTGTGGTGAAGCCTAAAAATGAGAAAAGAGGACATAGCCGGTACATTTATTTCCCCAAAGAATTGGGGGGTTGCCTTGTAAATCTTTTGTAAAAAGTTTATATAATGAAAATTTGGTACTTTTTAACAGAATCAACTCTTTTTCTAATGATCTAGATGCCCGGTGCCTGAGTGTGTCAAATATTTTTCTTTTTTTTTCTGCAATCAAGGCAGTTAAGATGAAGTAGAAAGTGGCTTGTTGTCCATGTTTGAAGTGAAATTCAGACATTCATTCATTCATTCATTCAACACATATTTTTGACCACCTGACATGTTCCAAACATACTCCTAGGACCTGGGAATACAGGAGTCCATAAGCTAGAAAGAGTGCCTTATTGAACTTGCATGTTGAAAGAAGTCACAAATAGTGAGGATCTACTTCTTTGTAGAGGCTGAGATACTTCTTGCAAGCCCAGCCTAGGTATTTTTCATTAGTTTCTGTCCCTTGTGTTACCTCGTTCCAAATAATGACTGCATTGTGAGATACTAGCAGGTTAGCCTCGTAAAGGACCCCAGACACCATTTAACCTAATAGCCTCATCTTACAAAGAAACTCAGAGTTTAAGTGGCTTATTTCTTACCCCATGTCTTATATTGTTTTACCCAAAATATTCATATAAAATTTTTGAACAAATACAAAATTGAAAGAATTTAGAATAAAAACCCATATGCCCAATGCTAAGAGTCTATCATTATGTGTATGAGTGGGTGTGTGTTTTTTTAATAAAGTTCTCTTGGGCTTCGTTGGTTACTGGTCTCATGTGTAATATTGGAAAATTACCTTACAACACATAGAGGGTAGATTTACACTTCTTTTCATTTTATTCACGAAACAGAAGGAAAGTCGAGGCCAGAGAAAGAAGACAACAGTCCTAGATTTACAATAAATATTTCAATTTAATATTGGACTTAGCTGAATGTCTGAGTGACTCTTTTATGCAAGGAACAAGCTGGGTGGTTTTGGAAACATTAAGATAAGTTACAGTTCTCAGTTTTAGGGATCTTGCCATCTACATAGGGAAAAGAGAAATGCATGCACTGACTTGCCATTAAATACATATGAAAATAAAAACTTAATGTCAAATAATTGATGCTGTAAGGACTGCATTAGAACATTCCTACTGCTGATCTTTAATTTACAAGGTTTACACTTACTACTTTTCTCACATTCCACGTTTTCATACACTGAGGAGACCAGGTTTATGGGAATGAGAAAGTGAAATTTTGAGGAGTAGGAGATAGGGAGATTGGGGCTAAATAACCAAAAACTTTGAAGTAGAGAACTTGGTCTTTGTCCTGTGGATGTCTAAGAATCACTGAGTGATTGTGAGTAGAGGAAGAGCTGCCATCAGCCAATTGTCACTGAGCTTTCTAAGTTGTATGCTGGTGGCATTCGAGAAAGATGAAACTAGTGGTTGTGTAGAGGGCGAATGCAAGGGAGGTCTTTAGTTAGTTAGGGAGGTTAGCTAGAAGGGAGTTGCAGATGCCTTGGTGTGAGGTTGGTGAGGGTAGCACCTGGGTAATGGAATAGAAGAGATGGGTGTAAGAGGAATTGCAGTGCAAAATGTGTGTGTGTGTGTGTGTGTAATAGACACATGACAGGCAAAGGAAGGGAGGAGAAAAAATAGAACCATTGGCTTGTACGTACTTTGTAGGGTAGGTCATGTGCTTCTTTACCGTTCTCAACTCCATCTTCAGTGATACCACATTTGCAGCTTGAAATCAGCTCTTATAGAAGTATTTAAATCTCCAGTAGCAGCAAACATTACAAGTCTCTGGGCATTTTATTTTTCCACAGAACCAGTTTACCTGCACACCCTGGGGTGAACCCAGAATTTTGAGTTTAGGTGACTGTTAACTGAATAGAGATTTTGGAGAAGATGCTGAGTTTGGTTTAGTGTCTGTTGAGATTGGTAGAGACTATAAAAATGTTGTAAATGTATTGCACTGCTTCAGCATTGAAACAAAAAAAAATGAAATTCTTTTGAGGACACATGTTTTGTATTATAAGTGTGATTTCATTGCAGAAACATTGAAAACACCATTTTTTTTTTCAGTAGGAAAGTTTATGGTAATAGTAAAGCTTCTTATGGGTCAAAGAGTAGCTAAGTCACAAAACAAAATAATAATTCACCTGACAATTCAAGTTAGTAGGAGCTCCCACGATCAGGAAGAAAGATCCTGGGGAGAAGGCTGAGTGGGGCTGTAGGATTTCACAGACCTCATCTCTTACTTGAACTCTTAGGTTTGGAAGATCTTTTCCTTCCCTTGAGAGCAGTTCTTTTAAAAAGATTGAAACAGTTTAGCTCTTCAGCAGAGATTTGTGAAATCAATTATGAAGAATCAGTGGAGTACGATTCATAGAGTGGTGTTTAGTGTGGAAAGATGCGAACAACCTATTCAGTGAAACCATATGTTTATGAAGCCGTGTTGCTGCCTGATCCTGGCTTTGTACTAAAACATACCGTTTCTGTGCATTTAAAGGGCTGGAGGAATCCAGTGTTCAAAGAGCGATTTCTGCTTGGTGGGGTTACAGGTTGCTGTTTGTTTATTCCTGTTGTTGCGTGTCTATTTTTGCTGCAGAATTACGCGAGCTAAGAAAAATGTCTTAATAAAATAAGAAAAGAAGCACGATCCTTCTGCTTGGCTGAGGGCAGTGTTCTAAGTAACTTGGCGATTTAAACTTTTACAGGGTGTTCCCGGAGCAAAGGGCGAACGAGGAGAACGCGTAAGTACCCTGCCTGGCTGGCAGGCGCTCCCCAGCCAGAGCTAGCTGTACACCTTGCATTGCACAAACCTGACCAAGGGTGACCGTTTACTATCAGGATTAGTCATCGCTCTGAGACCCTTCCTCCTCAGCCTGCTTCCTCTTCAGCTCATTTCACCGTGAGCCCATTTTCAAGTGGCAGACCCCAAGTGGGAAGTCTAGAGAGCTTGCTCCTATTAGTCGCAGATCTGCGGACCATCCCACTAGATGACCTTAGGTTCATGTCGTTAAGGAAAAAAATGGAGAGCATCGAACTCACCTAACTCACAAAGTGGATTTGATGAAGAAATTATATAATGCTTGTGAAAAGGCTTCAGGAAAATAAAAGCTCTGTACAGATGCCAAGGAGTAGAGTGGGACTTGTTTCTTGGTTTTTTTTTTTTTTCACCTCCAGTATTGACACCCAGAAAGACAATGGCAGGCACAGAATCAAAGAACTGGCTGTGCAATTTAAATCTGCTTATTTTAGGGGCCTTATCTCTCCTTTGAGAAATTGTGCAGCTGCTAATATAATTTTGTTGTCGGCTAGCGTAGCAACAGCCATGACCTTGGGCGCATCCAATTACCTCTGAGAAAACTGGAGCAATGTGTTTAACTCTGTCTATAAAATGGGTTTAACACCTTTCCCCTGAGTTGTTATTCGTATTAAGTAAGCCACTGCTTGAAAAAGTGCTATATTTTTTAAGCTCTAAAGAGCTATAAATGAGGCATTAAGTATATATATGGGTATGTTTCAAAACTATTAAATTTTTTAGAATCTGGGACCAAAAGTGCTTACTTGAGCTTTTTAAGTTATTACAGGTTCTCAGGAACCTTGCACCACAAGTGTCAAATTGCTTATTCCCGCTCTGCCTGTACCATGGTGGTCAATCCTAGCTGTTGCTAGGAGCCGAAGAGCCCAGGTGGGAGCAGTGGGTCAAGTCAAATCTCCATCCTGGAAGTCCTGCCGTGTGCCTTGGCTTGTGACTGAAAGTTAGGTGTATGCTTTTCTTTTCTCATTCAGGGTGACCTGCAGTCTCAAGCCATGGTGAGGGCGGTGGCACGTCAGGTGTGCGAACAGCTCATCCAGAGTAAGTGCCTTAGAGTTACAGATGTTTACGTTACTTGTCCAAATGGGAATTGGCCTTTTTCATGAGTGTGGTGACTAAGGAAATCACCTCTAAAGCTTTGTGTTGGTGCAGACGTGTAAGCTTTCCAGATGGCCATCACTAATCCACCTAAAACATCATTACAGATTATCCTAGATGCCTACATTAATGGTACGGATGCCAGATTCCTCTGTGTCATCTGTCCAAGGGCTCCCTGTTTGTCCAGATAGATTGAACTTGGCTGCCCAGATCCAATCTTTTATTCCTTCCTCATCTCTCTAAATGGATGGATTTTTTTTTTCTCAAGTACTCAGCAGGTGAAAGTACCAGGCTAAGGCATCAGAAGCTACCTTCAAAAAGATGGTTCATAGTGTTGACTTTTATTAACTCACTAGATTTAAATCAATACCTTCTTATCCAGCCATGCCTTTCGGTTAACCCAAGGTCCTTTCTTTTATTCTTTAAGATTTATACCAAAATACACACACACACACACACACACAAACACACACACACACACACACACACACGGACAGTCTTCATGAGACATTTGGTAGGATACTTGTGCTTCATGCCAAAAATTACACTGGAACACACTTGATATGACACCTCTCCCATTTTGGTTATTTTTTGTTTTTTTCATTTTAAACCTGAACTTTTCCACAGTTCAGTATTCCAATGACTGATTCCTGCTCAGTCACATATTATCCATCCATTGTGCACCTTTCTCTACTGGCCGCCTGACTATATACAGAGGGTGCCAAAACAATGTATACACATTTTAAGAAAGGAAAATACTATTAAAATTGTAATACTCAATATATACTGATCACAAAAGATGAATACAAGTCATATTTGACTTCTGCCATTACAAAAGGTGCTCAGAGTGGTTCCCATCAGCGTCCAGACACTTCTGATGATGGCAGTCTACTGCTTGAGCAACGTTGACCCAAGTGTCTACTTGTATACATGTTTTTGGCATCCCAAGTATTTTATCTCCATAACCCAAGGGTTCCTAGTGTGGGCCCTTCTCTTTGCCAGTAATTTGTTCAGTTCCAGGAAGCTCGGAGGCCCAGTAGAGATGAAGTATGCCTCTCAAACCCTGCCAGCTCTGGCCTAACTCTGCTGTCAAGCCCTCCACCCCATGGTGTCCTCTGCTTCCAGGGCTGACATTACCGGAGTGACGGCCTCAACAGCTTTGCGGTTATATTTAATTTAACCCAGGGACGTTTGGGAGTCCTGTAACTGTCCAAGAAGGCCCTATTGGCTGGGTCCAAAATTCCATCTGTGGTAGATAAAACCAGCTGTCCCCCTGGAGAAGGGGTGGAATAAACGTCAGCGTGAGCTTGGGAGGGTTTTCATTAAGACAAAAACCGGAGAGCAAATGAATACAAAGCTACCATCTTCAGACATAGTAGTAACGCTCCCTGTATTTTAACTTTATTCCGTTTTATATTATATTGCCCAAACTAAATGTATGTGTGGGAAAGAACTGACCAGTTAAATGAAACTGTTTTAAGTTTAATGTCAAAATAAGATCTGTAAAAACAATAAATTATAAAAGGGAAATCATGCATTAAGTAGTATACGTCAAAAGCTAATCTGTATCTTGGGTTATTTTGTAGGTTTCCCATTTAAAGTATCCAATGTATTAATAACAAGAAGATTAATTGTTTTCAGGGAACCTAAGGGTTAAATCCTGACATGACTCACTGATCACAGTGTGTGGGCGACTTCACAATAGTTGCTGTCTTATTCCATTGTATAATAAAAATCTTGTATAAATATGCGATTACTTAAAATGTGCCCTGAAAATTGAGAGCTAAAAATCGAGTTTTTCCCCTCGGGAATTCTCAGACTCTTGTGAATGGCTTCTAGGAGATGGAAGCCAGCAGAGGGGTCTACCAGAAAGCTGAAATAAGTCTGTGAAATAGGAAGACCCTGCCTGTCAACGCAGTTGTGAAAGAAGTAGAAGAGATTGTACGCAACATTATGAACAAGACCCAACCTACCCAGAGGCTGTATTTCTGACACCTCGGCCATCTGCCCACACACTACTTCCGGTTTCTCTGGGCTCCTTATCTCATTCCCTACGCTCCCCCTCAGAGCTTGATTTATTAGTTAGTGTGTAATTCCTCACAAATTCAGTCATCTGGTGTTTAGTCTAGAGAGGATCAGAAGACTTATGTTAGGAAAGGTTTATATGGGACACTGTGAGGCCAAAGTGATGACAGCGAGAGGAATGATAAAGGATATCCCCCTGATCAAAGGAGGAAGCTGAGAAAGTAGGTGTGGAAATGTCTGGCCCCACCCAACATTCATCCATGGACATGCCTACTGATGGCCTCTGAGTCATCTGGATGCTAATCCTAGTTACAATCATTGAAGTTTAGGGATACTTCAACATGTTTAGAAATAATCCCTCTAAAAATGGTTACTACTCTTATTTAAGTTTGAGTGTTGGAGAAGGGATAAGTAATAGTTACCTAGAAGATTCATTTATGTGGGAAAACCTTGCGTCCTGACAATGCTAGAAAAATGAGGCATTATGGTATCAAGTACTATAGTAATCTGTACTTCTAATTACTAAGAGGTATTCTTCCAGGCATAACTGAGTTTTGTGATGATCGGAGAGAGAACCAGATTTAAAAAAAAAATAAAGCTAGTGAGAGTTTCTGCAGCTGGGACCCAAGTAAAGGTTCCTGCTTAGAAAGGCTTGGCAGCAGAGAGATGAATTGAAACAGAGCACTTATCTGGCGATTTGTGAGCAAGAGGGTGGAACAGACTTTGTGGGTTGGAAAAAAAAAGACATATAACTTTGGGGGGAAATTGCTGGAGAAAAGAGGCAACTGGGTGAGGGCTTAGGGTTCAGATTAACGCTGGGAGTGAAGATAAAATTGATGGCTTCTGTTCAGTGATGTTTACTGAGATGCTGACATGAGCTTTGGAATTCCAAACACATGAGATGCAACTTGAATATAATCCAGCTGTATGTATCTGCCAATGTAAAATGTAAAAATTTGCAAGTTGGAAATCAACATATTTTGGAGGGATGTGCTTCTCCTCTTGATGGGTATCTAACAGAATTGTTCGGAGCCTTGGCAAATAATATCTCCAGTTCTCCCTTTCTTTGTGTGACAGTTGACTGACTGCTGTCTTTGTCCTTGGTGTCTCAGGTCACATGGCCAGGTACACAGCCATCCTCAACCAGATTCCCAGTCACTCCTCATCAGTTCGGACCATCCAAGGGCCTCCTGGGGAGCCTGGGAGACCAGGCTCACCTGGAACCCCTGGTGAACAAGGACCCCCAGGGACCCCAGGCTTCCCAGGAAACGCAGGTGTGCCGGGGTCCCCCGGAGAACGAGGTAAGCTGGGCCACTCCCCTCACTGAGTGAAACGAAGCAGAGCATGACAGGGGTGCTTATATCATGATAAACTCTGAAATAATTGACCTAAGTTAGCTCTACCCCATCCATTCATCAGCTTCTTATTTATCCCCAAGGTTGAGAAGATTGAGTAATCTACAAAGTATTTATCAAGAGCCATATCTACTTGTATGAAAAAGAACCCCAACTCGCCTCTAGGAGACTTTGGGCTAGTGAGAGAAATGTGTCTCCTCTGGATGGAGGAATTAAAAGGTGCCCCTTCCAGGTGGAAGTATCAGAAAGTGACGCCCCCTTCTGGCCATATGTGGCATCACACATACGGCACGGCAAGCCGGAGAGTTCACCTCCTAGTTCTGGCGCTTGTTTTGTGTCAGTGGCAGCCGTGAAGTGAGTCCTGAGTCACACTGACAAAGGATTCACATATGCCTATGTCGGACGTGCCAGCTTTAAACTTCAAATTAAATATGGTTTGTGCCCCATCTTCCTATAATATGAGACAGCACTTTATTTAATAATTTAATGGGCCATTGTTTTATGTTTCCTACTAACGTTTCTTTAAAATACAGGTCCTGCTTAGCCTTGACGTCTACTCTTCACAGGTATTTGCAGTATTGTATAATGCAATAATAAGGCCCTTGGAAAGAATTTTACTCATTTCTGTAATTGCCCAAGGTCTCCAGAAGCATATCAAAGAGATGTGGGAAATGGGGGCTACATATTAACCACAGAGAAAGGGATGGGGAGACAACTGACGGAAGTCTTTTCCAAGGCAGAATTTATAGAATACCGATCTAGGGCAAAGCTAATGATTACCGATCTGCTCTGTGGGTCGTGTTGCTTTTGTGAGATGGGCAGGGTATATACTCCTTTTAAAACCTCGGATGTAAAATGCAGATCACAAAGATGCCGTTTCACGTTCATTCTTGATCCAGGCCAACCGGCCAAGTGCATTTCTGCCTCTGCATTTTTGTTCCTCCTTTGGAGGCTTCCTTTTCCTTGCCTGACTTACGTGCGTCCTCCTCTTAGTTCAAGGCTCAGCTTAACCCCTGTCTCATACCTGACATTTCTGTTGAAACGTCAACAAATGTCTCCACCTCCTGCACACCTGATGCACTGTCTCTCCCATCCATTTGAGCACCATCAGATGTAAATGAAGGCAGGGATCATGTCTGAACTGCTTTGCGCATAATAGGGACTCACAAGATCATTGTTGCTTTGACCGTGACCCAGGTCTGATTTTCCTTTCTGAAGGTTTTTCCTGGGCCAGGGCACTCAGCCAGCAGATGTAGTGATGGGCGTAATTCCTTCACAGGACACCAAAGATCTGGCAGCCAGGGCGGTGGCCACCTGTCAGCAGGGCATCCTGTAATGGTGTTGGTGATGGATCAGCTGTGACTCAGGTAGCACAGAGCCAGTGCCTGAGTCACTCTCAGCGAGTCACAAGCCGACTTTGTTCTTTTTGGAAGTCCTGTACTTGTTCTTGCCAGTCTGACTCTTTCTTGCTTTACAATTGCACTTGAATGCTTAGACCAGAGGAAAATCTCCCAGGAGTTCTCAAACAGTGGCCCAGACAGCCCTTGAAATACAATTTTCCATGATATAATTTTCTTACCTACATCTATCCCTAAAGAGTACAGTAGACAAGCAAAATCCTGAATTTCACAAATAACATGGAGGATGACAAGACAGAAAGTGAGGTGCCCTTTGAACATGCAGGAAGGCGAATTTTCTTGATTACCAATTGAGGGGTGTGTTTTTTGGGTTTAGGGTTCAGGTTCAGGTTTATAGGCCCACGACCCAAAAATTTTGGATCCAAGGAACCATCCAACTAAAGATTTTCATGTTTAAATTGTGTATCCGTACCGGCTGAAATTCACATCTGGTTTATTTTGTACAAAAATCAACAAATATTTACTGAATGCAGGATTTATGTAATGCTTTTGGCTTGGCAGCATGTGACATAATACTGTTATTATGGCTTTCACTTTTAGGCACCCACAATATCTGCCAGTATTGTGCTCAGTCCTATATACACACATTCTCATTTGGATAAAATAGGAGACGTGGTTTGGATAAGGACCGTGAAATGGTACTGAATATGCAAGTTGGAAGATGACAAATACTAAGCGAGTTATGTGGACAGTAAATGTCAGAATTCAGAGGAAGACATCACCGTGGGCTTTGAGAAGAAAGGGTGCTGGCATGTACTAAGCAACTATTTGGGAAACTATCAGTTGCTTAGCAAATTATTAATGCCCATGAAAATTTTGTGAGATCAGTACTAGTCCCATTTTTAGGTGCGGGAGTTGAGGCTCAGCTCCATTATGAATTATCCAAGGTCACACGGCTGAGCAATAGGGGACCAGAAGTCCAATCCAGATGTGTATGATTTCAGCACACCTGTGCTTGCTCTCTTCTGCCCTGTTGCTACCTTTGAATTCCTTGATTAGCAGGGATTTCACAGAGGAGAGGCCAGAATTGTGCAGGGTCTGGCGAACGCTGTGGTTGATGACTCCCAGTAACCACACTTCAAAACATGTGAACTGCTGGACTGATGAGAGTGTCTTAGTGGGCTGTGGCTGTACTGTTTGCGAGCTCCTTGGAAATTCTGCCGTATTTGGATAGCCCTGGGCATCCGTGACCTGGCAAATGACCAGCTTGGAGGTGAAGCTGGGTGATCAGTTGGGAACATGTGAATGTGATAAAAACGTTACTCACGGTGACACATTTTGGCACTTGACGAGTCTTCTGAGATTCTAGCCTACATGAGAGTCCGAGTAGGGGAATTACCTAGAGGGAACCTGTCCATGGATCTGGAAATTTGGGGTGCACCTATAGCAGTTATGCTTCTGTTGTTATATCTTACCCTGGGGGCAAATAGGGGCGAAACCTGGAACAAGGCCATTCAGTCTTGTTTTACTTCTGGTATCTTAGAAGAGAAACCATTTTCACCTCCCTAGTTGTGATCCTGCTTTAACTGGAAGCAGCATGATGAGATGGAAAGAATGGGGTTTGTGGCATCAATCATGTATGGGTTAAGATCCTAGCTGAGCTACTTACTCGCTACATAAGTTTGGCAGCTTAATCTTACAAGTGTATCTTTCTGGGTCTTCATTCATTCATCAAACCAGCACTTACTGATCAGGCGTGGCACGGGGCCTCAAGGACATAGGGGCAAACAGGGCACATATTTCCTGCCTTTTGTGTGCCTAGCATGGAGACAGATATTAAACAAAAATACATGAATAGTTTAATTTCACTTGTCATAAATGCTATAAAAAATGCAGGATGCTATATGAGCATAGAAGAGACGACTCCGACTTCATCTGTCAAGTCAGTGATGTTTCAGCTGAGACCTAAAAGTTTAGGACTTTTACATAATAATAAGAGAGTCAGAGGAGAGCATTCTATGCAGAGACAGCAATGGCATCTTTGTGCAAAGGTCCTGCGGTGGAAAGGGCTTGAAACCTGTAAAGCCGTGGTTCTCAACCCTAGCAAATATATTGTCTCTTTTTTGTAACAAATAATTTGCAACATCTCTTTTATTCTTCTAAAGGGAAGTGCATAGATAATAAATATAACCTACCTTCACACACAATTTTTTTAAAAAAACTAGAGTGCCCTCTAGTGTAATATAAAACAGAGGGAAGTAATTTATGCTCAAAAATTAATGCCAATATGCAAATTCTTGTTATGACGACCCTGGAAACATAATGAAGAGGTCAGAATATACTTCTATTTAAGAATTACTAAGAATGCAACAGCTACGGATTCAGGATGACATAGTTGAGCTTTATCAACGACTTAGTCTTTCTGCATTTGTCTCCATTGTGTTCACAGTGAAGGTCTACTAAGACATCAAATACATCATGGACATTATGCAAATAAATGCAAATTACCTTCTACTTTTTCAGGCACATGTTCCTGGGCTAACAGATCTCTTGGTTTTCCATTATGTTTCCTTTTCTTAGTAGGACCTTCTCCAGAGATGCCTTCCAATACTGACTATCCCCTCCCACCAATTGACGGTGGCAATGTCTTTTCCCATGCCAGTGCCTGAAAAAAGTTAAGGGGAAATAACTGGGAGGTGTCATTCCAAAGACTTTCCCCATTGGAACTTACTGGCTCCTATAAATATCATTAGCACTCTACATTTACTCTATAGAATCAAGTATTTTGGGTGCTGAGAGCTCCAGTCACTCCAATATTTTATTGAGGATAAAAATAATAATTGTGTTGCAATGTCATCTTTATTTGAGAAATTTCACAGTTTGTTTGCTACCCAGATTAATTTTTTGTTGTTCTTTAAAGATAAAGTCCCTGAGGGGCTTTTGAAGTTGGACAATTATTCCCGTTGAGCCTTCCCTGCCACAGACAACCACATTTCTAATGACTGAGTAAAGAAAGACAAGGTTTAAGGATCAATTTCTATCAGTCCTAAGTTCTCTAGTTAACTTGTAAAAGATGGACTTTGTTTTAGAAAATGAGAAAAGGGGGATGGGAGAAGGATGAGAAGATAAATCACAACTGGACTTCCCCAAGCAAACACAGGTAGAAAAGGAACCAGCCATACTCTGGTTGTCATAAGTCAGTGACAGTCCCGCTCAGAGACATAGAAATGACAGTCAAAGCAAAAAAATTCTACACACGCTACAGCTAAATGTGAGTCCCTGATGGTCATGCTATGGTTTTACTGTGAATCATCAAGGCTGAGAAGTCTAGAGAGAAAACTGGATTCCAGATCCATTCCAAGCTGGGAGAGAGAAGTAGGTTCTCGCGTTCGGTATCCCTGTGGTGGAAAAGAGCTGTTGGCAATGAAGATATATTTGACAGAAATCTTTGGTCGCAAATTCAGAATTAAAGCATGGCAGTTGTGAACCAGAAATGCCTCAATGGTAAGCATCTATGAAACTTCTTAATGACCCTTGTATCCTGGTTTATTCCTGGAAAAGTTATCTTTATGGGACAGATCAAGTTGA